TTCACCTGTTTAACTGTCACATATAGTATACAATGGTCTTATAATGGTATGTATATAGAATTCTAATAAAGAATAAAACGCATTTCTTTCAGTGTACATTGTAAACAGAAACGTATTATGTTTGTTCATTTACATTTCTGCGTATAAAAAACCATTGGAAATATGCAAAAAGTATTTGTAAATTTCCATATTTACTTTTTATCAGCGTAAGTTAAAAAGAAGCTATTGCACGCAATCTGTAGTATAAATAATCATGTACTTTCAACACAGTTGCTATTGCGTTGCTTATTATGGATCTCTCGGCGACTACAGCAGTTTTCTTGCATACAGTTGATATACAGGGTGGTTCAGTTTCTTTTAATTAAACTATTGGTATAGGAGTATCAAAAAATTACGACCGTTACATACATATTTGAAAAATGTTTACGTTTTGAGATACGAAGGTTAACTTTCTCTTAAAAAAATACATTTGCTGGCATATTTTCCATGCATAATGTATCATAGTTAAACTTTTACAAAACGGTTACTACGGTAAATTAAATTTTTTGTCACAGCCCTATGAATGTGAGACAGTGAAAAATGATATTTAGAACTGAGTATTACAGTTAAACTGCGATTCTAATGGTTCCTAAATTTTTGTCAGAAGCATCTCAAATTGGGGTGTTTTGTATAAAGTTCCAAGTTAGTATACTAACCTATCAGCTAATTCAGCTAAAAGTTAGAAGTTTTAGACAATTTTACAGTGAAAAACTTTTACCTGCTACGTTGAGACATTTTCGAGTGAAGCCAAAATTTGTAAATATGCAGTCCATACATAGTTTCAAGCGATCACCAGACAAGTAAGGAAATGGACTGTATCTTCTATATTTCTTGATTAATACGAAGTTATTATATTATTATTATTATTAGAGTGTATATTATCTTACTACTTACAATAATAATGTGAGATTATGGGGAAAAGTGAAAATTGTTTTTTTCTCGTACGTCAATTTAGATAGGGTTTGTTTTTTTTTGTGTGAAAAATTCTGTTGCCTGGGTGTATAGCTATTTGTTACATAATTTAATTATTATAGAACCACAACACATAGTATGCTTTAAAAACAATTAAAAATAATTTATTTGACAAGGTATAAAAATTCTCTAGACTGATTGTTAAAAATACTTTACACTATTTATACTGAAAAACATTGTAATCTATATACAGCAAATTTATAAGGTAATAGTTAAATAAAAAAAATATTTGTAACGGGAACGAACATTGTGGTAATTATATTGACAAACATTGCCTTGTTTTTTTGCTCTTTGCTCCGTTGAAATGAAGATCATTTCAACAAGTGTCTATTTTACTGTAAAGTTGTCTAAAATTTTAAATATTTGAATCAAACAACATACAAAATAGAATGAAATTTAAGTAGTTTAGGACTAATTATAATTAAAAAATCATTTTCCTACTATTACATTCAAAACCGGTCCCTAATATACCCTTCATATGCAATGTTATCAAGTCTGAACCTTCTTAAATTAACACCTTCAATAAATCATTTTTTCATATACTTATTTCAGATATTTTAGTGGTAATTAATTATTCTATCTCTTCTGTAAAAGAATATTTATTTCTTTTAGGTATAAGTATGATTGTTTTACTTATTTATTTATTTTTTTCACTTTGATTTAATCAGTTTTTGTTTTCTATATGGACTTTATATAAAATTTTAAATGAAAATGTTAATGAAGCAGCTGTTCGGTATTTTTTAAATGAACAATACAGGTGCCTTCTCTAGAAATTTTAGAACTTTTTTTGTTCTCAATAATTTTATAAACTTACCACAATTTCGTTGTGGGTAGTTTTCCAATTTTGTCACGAGAAAGATTTTTCTCTACAAAAAATGGTGATTCTGGATGGTACATTAATAAGTCACAAAATCCGATAGGAAATCATCATTAGATTGTATGTACAAAAGTAAAAATAAAGTTTAATTAATACAGATCTGAAAATGCTTCCTCAGGAAACTATAGTCAGTGGATTGTAAAGCCTTGTGGCCTATACTAATTAATTTTTTTTTTATTTTTGAACGTATAATAATGATGTTTGGTAGTTTAATTACGGTACATTGGTATAAATATCATAAAATAAGTGAAAGAAGAAGAAGAAGAGAAGAGGAACGTGTTAGTGAAAATATGTAAGGCATATGTAAGTATTTCTGGAAGATTACTCATATAATTGCAAGAATGTAGAAGGATTTACTAATAAATTACTAGGACGTTCTGGGATTTACAGTAGGATTTAGCAAGGATTTCTGATATTTAAAGGGAATTACGTGATTTATTTGAAAAAGAGGTGTACGTGTACACTTTGTAACAAATGTGTTCCCCACAAGTCTGAGTTCCATTCTTAAAAAAATTATGTTAAATAACTGTAAAATATAAAATAAGTAGGTATATATTAGGTCTAAATTTTGACAATGACGCAAAGTAAGGACACGAGGACATGGTTTATTTTTTGTGGACAGATTTACACGCTCATATAACTATAGTCAATTCGACTAATGCCTTACGGCTTTTTCGTGAATCCGGCTGTAAGAGACTTATATACATTTTTCCAAGGTTTAGATCCATTTCGTGACGAAGTTTTACGTTGGGTGTATTTGGCATGAGTCACTCCAGATAACAAAAGCTTCTGTCACTGTCCTACGTGGTGCACCATGTCCACATGATTAATATTTCTTTAGCAAGGATTTGCTTTTTTCACAACTATGTCACAAGTAAGTGTGCATAAGTCATTATTAATACAGAATTGTTGATTACTGATTCATGCACTTCTTCTTTCAGCGTTCTTCGAACTGTTTCGATACCAGCTCTGCGAGGTCGGCTATGAGGATATAACTTTCGATTATTCTGAGTATTTGTTATCAGCATAATTTATAACTGGTAATATTATTTTACAACTATTGCTTTTTGTTTTGAATAACCCTGGTGATATTATAATAGTTATAATTCTATTGCACCCAGATTTATTTGTTTTTTAAGCTTTGAATATTTTAAATTTTTTTCAAGTTTACCATTTCTAATTTTATTTCGTTTTGTAAAAATAGTCGCATTTAAGTGGCCTGGGGATGTTATTTAAAAGACGAAACGTCCACAATTAAACAATTACGTTTTCCTAACCTCCATTTGCCCCAATTCCTCACTCCTAACCAACACAATCATTATTCAATATTTACATTACGAAATATTGTTCTGTTGATCTATTTAGGACACTTAAGATATAATACAATTATCTTAGATTGTATCTCAGTACTACGTAGCAAACAACAGTAGTTGAAGAAATATAAAGAATATAAATCAAGGACCAATTTGTCGTCATCCGATAATCGTCAAATATGTGTTTTCTTGTAAATTTTGTGTTGGTAAAGATATGCCTTCTTTTCTGTACATATATTTTCCTTAGGCATTTCAGAGAACGTTAAATATATTTCAGGTTAGTTAAAATTATTTCGGAAAGAGGGTTTTTATTTGTAAATCAATTGTAATTGTAATTTTTTAAATATGAAAATGTATATTATATTTTAGCTAAGTTAATCCGTTTTTCAGAATATGTCATCTGTAGTTCAGAAATCCTCAATATTGGTTTATATTTTTAACACATATTTTTTTTGTCATCGTTCTGGTATAGTCTTAGTCAACTGTATAGTCTAAGTCAGGTTTGATAGAGAAAGTCAAGTTAGATAGAGATAGAGCGAATGAGAGATAGTTAAGAGTTAGATAGATTTAGACAGACTTAGAGAGGGATAGAGATAGAGAGTTAGATAGAGGTAGATATAGAGTTTATATGAAGAAAGTTAGATAAATAGAGTTAGATACATATAGAGAGAGTTAGATACAAATATAGAGAGTTGAATGGAGAGACAGAGAGATAAAGAATTAAAGTTAAATATGATAATAATTGATAATTGACTTTTGAATTCAAATGAAATTAGATCTACCGTTTCCTAATTTGCATATCTAAAAAATTTGTAATAACGAGACTTGAAAAAACTAGTAGATATTGTAGTTTTCGAAATAATAGACAATTTTTTTATATTATCTTTATTAAGTCGTATCATTATATCATTGAAATAGGTACGATTTTCTAATTAATTCGGCCAATCAAATGTAAGTAATTCCATCTAGACAGCATTGAAATTAATTCAAATTAATGTGAACAGGAAAAAGAATTTGTAAACGTTAATTTTTACCACGATTATGTGTATATGTCACTTTTTGCTGTGAATTTGTAGCCTTGTACTATAAAGCTGCGTAAAATAAATTCATTTTTTAAATTTAATTAGCTGTAGTAGCTTCCAAACAAAATCAGGATCATAAGTTTAACAAATTAATTATACTGTACTGAACAGAGGTATAATAAATTGAAAACCACTCTTTATGAAGGTAATGGCTTTTAATGCTAATTCCCATTTACCTCCACTGACATCCATTCTAATGAACTGATTTCTAGCATCTTACTGCCAGCTAATTGATTCGAAGAAAGTAGCATATGAGATGAGACTCTAAAAACCATATTGTTGAAGTGATATTTCTAAATAATTCACACACAGCCTTATACAAACAGCTATTTTCTCTTATTTGTTTCCATAATTACACAGTCAATTGTGTCGTCTGGTAAATATTAACCTTAATGTCTCATTTACATGTTTGTTATGAAGTACTATCATTACCTACTCTTTAGAGGTCGATTGCGACATTTCAATTTCAATTTCTTTGCCTTGCAGTAGGTGGGAATGGAATTTATGGTTTCGCGTATGTTTTAAATTATTGTTTCAACACGTCGGAGTTTTAGAAACGCCTTTTGAAAGATTTAGTTTTTACTTAGTGTTGAAAGGAAGTAATGGTTATGAAGTTATCATCTTGATACTTATCATCACATTTTATTTACCTGTTTGAAGGTAGTATGTAAGTCATATTTGGTTGTTCGTGAAGAAGGGAAAAGAAAAGACTTGCAGTTTAAATTTTTTACCAATTTTATTATAATTTTTACAAAACATTTGATTTTTTTACATAACCTAGTAGGAGTGTATATTACATAATATTGTGAAAGTCACATTCTGGCATTCGCTTGCAAGCGCTATTTATTATAGGATAATCGAGAAATTAACAGTCTAATCTTATCAAGATATTTTTATTACAAAATAAAACAACAAAATAGATCACGCATACAGTCACTGAACATAATAAATACAAAATGTAACGTAGGATCACTAAAAACCCGATCAAAAGCCAACACGGCAAGGGTGACACTGTTCATAGTCCCTTAATTAACTAAAATAGGTGACTTAGAAGAAACCGTCTCCGGTGGGGTCATTTACCCATGGGTAATTATTTGGACATCTCACACAAGTTTGTAAATTGATGGTTTCTCCGGGTACCTCCTTGGACGTCAGTTTGCAAGAGTGGGGCACCCAACAGGCGGGGATACCTTCTACAACACATTTTTCCCTCCAGGGCTCGAAGTTCTTGGCTTCTGTGATAGTTCTCGGGTTCTGGATCCATTGGATTACTTGGGTCATTGTGACAAAGTAGACGTCATTGTGGTTGGAAAGGATTTCATCGATCCAGTAAAGGAAAGCATCAAGGAACTCGGGATTGTTCTTCAACCAAGCAGCGTGGAAGTAGAGTCCAAGGGGAGCACGGTTTTCTTCGTAGTGACGATCAAAGTTGTGGTTCAGGAAATTGTAGAACTGGTCACCGGTTAAGATGTTGGAACATGAGTCAACCATAGCACATCCAGGAAGGTATTCGTCGTTGGTAGGGTCTTCCCTACGATCCAATTCGTTGAGTACCATTTCCCAAACAGCGTGTGATCTAGTTGGGCAACTCTGCAAGTTACCGTGACACCTATGAGGCATGCGGAAGTACATGGTGTAAGGCCATAGAGGTGGATTGTTCAGTGGGGCAGTGATCGTTGAGTCATACAAGAATGCTTCCTCTTCCATCATGGTGAACTGGTTGTTGCCACCAACACGTAGGTAAGGGGCGCGGACACCCACTACGCTGTTATCAGTAATGTTGGCGAATTTTTCTACGATGATCCTCATACCTCCCATTTCCTTCACCCAGTCGTTGACGGTGGCGTTGGACCAGAAGTGTTCATCGTCATTGTGCCTGTAATAAATAATAAGCGCGGTTAACAGAGCATACAGCAATTAAAATCACTTAGCAACAGTAGCCGTTGTGAAATTAAAAATTACTTACGTGATTGAATGGACGGCAATTTCGTGACCTTTGCGGTGCATTTCCTGCGCGGCGGAGTAGTTGGTGTATTTGTGTGATACGAAGTAGGTAGCTTTAATGTCACAACCGTTAGGGTTCTTGCGTTTGCCGTTAAAGATTTCTTTGTACAATTCGATGTTGTTGTTGTTGATAGCGTCGTCAAAGGTAATGGTAACCATCTGAGGTACATCTTTAGCTGGAAGGTCTCCAGGAATGGTCGTACCATCTTCAGAGCAGAAACAGTCGGGCAAATTACATACTGCTGGGTCACAGGGTGGGGCGCGATTGGGGTCATTGTCGATATCTGCAACAATTTTTTTTATGTAGTTCCAATTTCAATTACCATAGGGTAAAAGTTCATTTTAACTAGAGAACGATTTCGTAACTAATTGAATTTTTATTCGGATATTAACGCATAATTACTTAAAAACCGAGAACCAACAAACGATTATTAGAAAGCTTTACTAAATTTTAAAAATAAATGGATGTCGTGCACCTACAGGGTCGACATAAAAATTATTATTTATTGAGATTATTGGAAAAGATGCCCAGTTGAACATTGCAATTTAAAAAGTGCTCATTCCGTATATTCAGAAAGGAGAATAATTAAGTGGTTTCTGAATATTCAGCAGTAGTCATCGACTACAAATAGCCTTAAATTTATTTAATGACTCTCACATAAAAAATATTTCAAATGCAGACGGGACAACAATGTCGCTAATAAATTAATTTTAAAATGTTACCAAAGAACTTGCTTCCAAACTGGTTTCATTTCAAGAATAACAACTCGACAAAGTATTCAATTTTTTCGCTCCGTTTCTATACGAACTGTAATTACTTTTTATATTTAAGTATACGCTCCTTTCCAGTAACCAGGATAATTTTTAATGGAACTTTTAATAAACTCCCATAGAAATAGCATAGACTCAAGTGAGTATATGCTGCGTCTAAGAATCTTTGACGAACAGCTATTGAGGCCAATGTAGATATGTAAATATTTTATTCAATAATAAACGAAAGTTGTTCTTGTTTAGAAACGTAATTAATTAGATAATTTGCAAATCTTCGGGCTGAAAAGTAAGAGTGTATTTCGCTGGTCGTTTTTGTTTACTGCTTGAGAATCAGAAGGCGAGAATGTATTTGCATATGCGGCTGGTAAAAAGTGAAACGTGTCCAAAGGTTGCAGAAAAAAAACTTAGTAAAGGGTGATAATGTCGCAAGAGCCAAGATGTTTGATAGAGAGGCGAGCTACATTCTTAGGATGGAAAGTGGGCCGAGTACGGCGCCGCGCCCGCTGATGCTGTAGACGTTACACCAAGGACAACGAAAGTTATTTCTTAATATCCACTTTCGCATTAAGTTTAACCTCGCAAGGTCCCTGGACTCGCTACGACGACACCTACCGGGCGGACTCGAAAACATTAAAGCTCAGTCCTTTAGTCTTCCTTTGTATGACAATATTGAAGTAATTGCTTTTATTTGCTGATGTTTTGAAAATTAGAAACATTAGCAAAAATTTGAAAGTGAATTATACTCGTACAAGAATTCTTAATTTTGAAAGTTCACAAATACTTAATGTTTTTCTTAAATAAGTCACCGTTTCAAGTTTTACCGACCTTTTGAATATTCGAAAGATAAGCGAAAACGTAATTTTTTCGTTTCAGCGGTCTGTGTTAGTGCCACCGTGTATGTTGATCATTCCCGTCATTGTAAACAGAAATAATCGATCTGCATTCCATCTTACGAAAGGGAAAGTACGATTTGCAGGTTACTGCTGTTACATGATTGCGGATGCAACGAATACCTACATCCACCTGATGACATTCTATAACCAACCCATCTACCTTCTAATCCAGCTCCTATTACAAAGTTATTATGTTTAATTTATACAGCAGAAACTCGTGTTGTTACATCTTCGGATATTAATAATCTAGGAGCGTTATGGTCTTGATGAATTAGTAGAAACATAATACGATGGAGTGAGATGGCGAATTTACGTTACATTGCTTATTTCGTTCACTCGGGCTTAAAATTTAGACTCACATAACGCTGATCTTAATTTATGAAAGTGGTTCGGTTGGTAATAAAATTTGTCTTGTGAGTACTGAAAGAATTAATAAAAAACTAAATTGAATATAGCGCGTAAAGTCTCTATAATGTATTCGATTAACTTCGAGTTAAAATAACATTTTATCGGATACTGCATTGTATTTAGGATATTATCTGATTGCCAACTTGTTTGCTAGATACTGTGCTATTGATTTTTGAACGCTTCTTCAAAGTAACACATGCGACTTCGATGTACCACTTACCGCAAGTATTTTCGTCAGAACCGTCGGTACAGTCTTTCTCTCCGTTACAGAACAGACCCCTTTCTATACAGGTACCATCACCACAGGCGAGAAATCCGTCTTGGCAAAGAGGTTCGTCGGTAAACAGCAGAGGTTTTACTTTACGTTCTTTGTTCTTGAGCTTGCAGTTCTTTACGGAGTCCTTCCAATCGCAAGTTTGCTTGTCGATATCGAAGTAAAGACCAGCCGGGCAACGAATGGCTTGGAGACCCTGAAACAGAGCAGCGAGACGTGAATACGGTAGCTTTAGGCAAGTCACTCCCTAGTAGTGGGCATTTTATTTATTTGATCGATATTTTCGTTATTTCCTGTGGTAAACAATTCCATCGAGATTTTAGTTTACAAGTACTAAAGTAGTTAACGATAGAACTAGTTGATTTAGGATAAAAACTAAGTTACATCCATTTCTTTGCCCACTTAAAAATGTCGAAAAAATGGAATTTCGTAACTAAAGAAATATGTTGGCTTTACTTACATAAATATTAAAAAATCTGGTTGGACTTTTTCAGTATTCATGTTAAAATTTGAATTCGTGTGGTCAAGATAAGAAAAAATCTAAGAAGGAATTTCAGGAAACATTTCATTTTTACAGCTAAGGTATTGATACTGGGAAAAATTACATTTCCAAAAATATCTCTGAAAGTATTTGGCATAGATCAATGACATAACATTTATCTAATCATTCTAATGTAAAGAAAGACATTTTTGAGAAATACTATTTTAAATTGAAATGAAATCATTAATTTTTGCGCCAATGATTTTCTCATAAATAGGTATTACATTTAGAATATAGAAAATAAATACGAACAATTTGTTTACGATATTTAAATCGAAAAAAATATCCAAACGATTATTTTTGTGACATGAGAAATTATGGAGTCATTTTAGAGTTATTGGAATATTTCATAACAACAATGTATGTCAAAAAAAGTAATAAACTGGAAACGATAAGATTTTCGATTGAAATATTTTATATTTCATATCAAATTCGGACTATTTAAGTGACATTAACTTTCGGTACCTTCCCTACTTGTTGTTGTATTTACTTCTGAATTCTACATCAAATGCCTTCAGAGTTATATTTGAAAATGTTGATTAATATTCAAAATTTAACGTTCTTTTTCGAAAACGACCACTTATTTTAATTTGACTACTAAAATTGAAAAATTAAGTTTAATCTCCAGCATTTGTTAACCTTCAGGTAATTAACAAAACTGTATTTTAGTAAATGTGATTTTGAGCATATTCCGATTTTTTTGGAACTATTAGAAGAACAAGTTGTATAGTTTATGCTTTGATTAAATATTAAAATTTTGGAAATCTGAAATAATTTCCAAGTAAGATTCAAAAACCAAAACCGATTATATTATACAATGTTTCTAATAGAAAAACAAAACAAAACTACTAACAGAAATGACAACAAAAAATTATTTATAATTCTCATAGATTTGACAGTGTATTATGGTTGACACCTAAGCCGACTTTCTGTGCATTGTTGTAACATGAACTGCAAAAGCGGCAGTGATTTGCCCTATGTCACGTGATCTAGGATAAAATCACGCGACATTGATTTAAAAAGAAGTTTTATTTCTGACTTGGAAATTTAAATTTGTTGGTAGTAACACAACAACTAAAAAGATTACTGTTAAATCTATATGCAAAATACGCAATAACACTTAATACCACGTAATGGATACAACAAATCACCCGTGATATGCCTGCAAATGCTCCAAGTTTCGTGACGCGACACTAGTTTCATTTCACTTTACATCTTGGCCCCATACCCCCTCCCTCTGCATTCCATCCATAGTATATTGTCAAATCGATGATGTGAGGGTTAAAAGACCATTTAAAAAAGTTTTCGAAATAAATAATTACAGACAATATGATGAGTTTAATCAAACTTCAACTTACCGAAGATGTACATTGGATGACATCACGACAATTGTCTCCTTCACCGGCCACCAATCTGAACCATTCTCCTGCATCCTTGTCTTTGCAAAGCTCAGCCTCAAAGCTATCTTCTTTCTTTGGTGTCACTTCCTCGGGTTGTTGAGCATAGCCTTAAATATATCCAAAATTAAACATAGTAAATCACAAATGTGTGCCACAACTGCTTAAACTCATGCTTTTCCAAAATGTCAACTTTTCAACCCCGTCCAGATATAAACAATTAGCTCATTTACCTTAACTTTAACTAGAGATTGCCTTTCGAAATAAGAAAGAAATTTCTATTGAAGATTTATTTAGAAATCAAAGCTTATGAAAATAGTATTATAAAACAGAAAAAATGTTACATCAAAACTGTGAATGCATATTCAACAGCACTAATAATTTTAAAACAAAAATGCATTAACTAAGTAGGACAGTGACCAGACAGAAATATAATGTAGAGATTATATAGACTTCTTCGTATAGAGAAATTTATTACTGTCAATACACAAAGTGCAGGAAGAATTTCGCCGAAGATTTATAAGAAACTTACACAACACATGTCTACATCTTTTATGCAAGATGGCATATTAGCGTGTTAAATTTTCTATTAAATCCAGTCGCCTTACGCAATACGTAAATTTAGTCGTATATCATTGTAATATTTAATCATAAATTTTATGAAGCGGTTAGCTGCAAAGAGAAAGCTTCATTGATTTTGCATTTGCAACTTAAAACCTCTTACGAAAATATTTATGCAATTGTTATTTTCAAATGTTTCAGCTTTTTCACCATTTAAGTGCTAGTCTCGGACGGCTTCTTAAATAAATCTGGCACACTCGCATTTTATTCTAACAAGGACAAACTTCAAATATCTCTAATTACTTTGGAATAAGTACATTCAAATCTAGCATTTATATCAGGCTTGAACTTATGTTGATAAATAATTTCGCAATCATAATGAACGGGAAGATCGAAGATATTTTTAATACGATTCACAAAGGTTAATAATGTACTGAATCCTTGACATTTTCAATAACCAATTATGTGGCTTGATATGCGGTTTACAATTTTTTTCCTGTTATGTAATTAAAATCCTTCTTTACGCCCTCAAACAAAACATGGCTTATTATGTAAATTTACCTAAATGAAAAATTATTATTCATCTATGATTTATAGTTAAAAAAAAAACAAATTAGAATATTATGGTTTGATCTTGATGTACTAGTAAATGGATATCTTTATATATAATTTCTCAAAATAAAATAAAAAGTAAACATATTTTCGCGTGATGAAACCGTTGTGTCTAAATAAAGTCATCCTTTTGAACAGTTTTTATTTTGCAACGTTTGAAAAACCAATGCAAGTATTTCGTAACTGTAGAGAATTATTTTAATTATAAACTCAAATTTTACTATGGATGCAATGCAATACTGATAAAATTACATTAACTATTTTCTTTTTGTCTGCCTAGTTAAATCATTTGTTTTCCCTTCGTTAATTTTTTAGTTACGTTGTTAACATTTCATGAAATATAATAATATTCTGGTTGGTTCTTTGTTATTTATTTATTAAAAAACATAAATATTACTGAAATATTGCATTATCAATGTCGATGACGCATTTTTCGAAGCCGGAGAGCTTTCTTAAAAATCTTATTAAATCCGCCTTACTGTGTTTTTGCCTGGCAAGACCATCTCAATTGCAAAAACGCCACGCTTTGACAACTGAACATAAAGGTCAACAGTCTGCTGTCTGCATTTCTATACAGTTGCGAAACTACTTAAGATCTTTTATAGAAGACTTGCAAAACAATGTTGCTACTATTTTTAACTGTACCAAATATCTAGTTTATCTGTTCTCAGTTTTGTTACTCTTGAATTCAATATTCTATTTGAAGAGTACAAAACAAACAGCATTTTGATTCCATACGGCGAATTTATGCAACCTGTATGATACTTTGAGCACGTTGACAATGTGGGTCAGTTTTGAAATCCAAGACTGGAGAACAAATCAAAACAAATATGTATTTTGTATTTGTATTTTGTAAAAGATGTCGTAATTCGCTGATTAATTTTGGTTATATAACATCCAACAACTCTCCTGAATAATCTGTGGCTGCTCTCGGTTACATGTTGCACGTACTTACTAATCTACCACCACATTGTGGCCAGTACGAGTCGATTACAATCTGATTGCATTCAAGGTTAAGAACTAAGTGTAAAATTTTGTAAATGCGACTTATCTGAAATAAATTTTATTCAGGAATTTTTGGGTGTGGAACTGCATTAATGAACAATTCCACAGTGCCAACTTGTTTCTTGCCAAGCGAAAGCTTTGTTGCAGATTCCATGTTCTCCATCGTTGTGAACAGGAATACATATAAATACAATACACGTAGAAGTTTCTCAACTGCGACAAATAAACAGTTATATACAAATTGAAAACCTTGTGCGTTGTTGCTAACTGAAAATTTTTTCTTAGAAATTCACGAGAATGAACTACAGAGGATTTACAAAATGTTTGTTTTTGATTAGTGTAACTTTCAAATAAAATAAGTATCCATTACAATTATTCCCTACGATGTTTGAATAAATAAAAAGTATTCAATAAACTTGTTGATATTATGTTTTGCAATAATCTGAAAAAAATTGAAGTAAAGTTATTCCTGAAACACCTAGATCGACCAAAAATGTGGATGCAAAAAATCTGTCACACCCAGCATGGGTAAGGTTACGGCGAAAACTTCGTTACAGTATCAGGTATTTTCAAGTACGTAAGCTAAAACTGTTTATGCCGAATTTCTACCTTTTACTTTTTAGTTAGCAGCACTTACAAATTCAATGCAGAAACCCAATAGAATTGCTATTCAGAAGGCAATAAAATGCAAGGCGGAACAGAGGCGAATTCCAATTGCACCACGAGACTTCTAGCTCTTTCTAGGAATTGGCTTCAAGAACATAAAATGTAAGTATATAAATAACTACACGTCTTCAAAAAATTCTGTAGAGAAAACTGCAAGGCAATCAACTTTCACAATATCACATGTTTAATCACCTACGGGTAGGTAATTTCTATAACTCAGCGCACAACTCAAAACTACTGAATTGTTAGAAAACAGCTTTTGACAGTTACTAATTGCCTCCGATATATTCATTTTTAATTAGTTTACGTAAGACTAGCAAAAAGACAAAAGCGTACATTTTCATATAAATTAAAGTTTTACCTACATTTTTCCTTTTCCAATAAATTTATATAATAGTAAACAAGAATAGTTGTAACAGATAGAAAGGTTCGTGTTCTATACGACTGTTGATATCTCCATGTAGGGCAAAAAGTATTCCAATTTTAGACTTCACAAGCAAAGTTTCTAATGACAATGAACAGTAAAAACTTTAAATCAGGCTTTCGTAAGCTGGCAAAGAAGCAAAAAAAGAGTAATAATTATTTCGTTCCTTGAGCTATTAAGGCAATTTACTTTCTCATGTACGGTAAAGCAGAAAGGCTACCGTTTGCAAAACAGTATGTTTGATCAGAACTACTACACCGACTGGCACAGGAATTTGGAAGTTGAAATTTTGATTACAGCTGTCTGAACGGATGCCCGTTTCCCAGGTTTAAGCAGCCACACTTCTTGTAAAATTCACTTACCGGTTGAGGCACATATCGTAAGCAAGAGCAGCGCAGCCGTATAGCGCGCCATCACTGTATAACTAAAGCACAACACCGCTGAACACAATTGACAGGCCCTCCGCTTCCTCGCTTTCTGCTTTTATAGTCGGCCTACATCTACGACCCCCGTTGGCCGACGTCACTTCACCTGCAGTCAGAGGAATATTGGCACTCCAACTCCGGGATACTTGCTTTTCTTCTACGAGAGACACATATCACATCTCTGTCTTACAGCAGCCTCCATCTGCACGCGGTCGTCAGTCGGTTGCTGAGAGTAAAAGTTTTTTACGATTCGTTTCTCACTATTGTAATGAGCACTAAAGTTTACGTGCCTATATCGGATAAACGCAGTTCTCGATGTTATAGGTAATACATTTTTTTTTTATTTCTGTCGTTAAAAGTTGACTTTTACAGGATAAAGTGTCAAAACAACAGGTTTTTGTCTACAAAGCCTTTTATATCAAGGATGTAAACGACTTTTACATCCACCTCTAAAAATCAATGAAATCATAGATGATAAAATCAATTCATCAGTTTATTTATTATTAGGTATCAACAAAAATATAAATTTTAAGAATCAATCATTAATAAACAATTTAATCAACAATCAATTAAAGTGTTAATCATTTCCTTTAATGTTTAAATTTAAAGTCGTAATTGTACACTGTAAAAAAAAATTTCAATCAAATTCACTCAGTTTTACTCAATACACACCCGACTGAGTTTCTGCTAACTATCAAGTGAGTGATTTTTGACTCTATTCCGAGTACGTGAAACCAATTAAGAGTTGACTTTTTCTCTAAATTTAATTGTTATTGAGTAATTTTTTACTCAGGCATGGTTTCCACTATAAATAAATCGGTCTGAGTGAAGGCAAAAAGGTGCTGAGTGAATTCATTGAGTGAAATTATTGAGTACATTTTTAGTCAATATTGAGCATTTTGAATTGATTGATTTTGAACTAAAACTTATAGTTTCACTTATAAAATTTTAGTTGTGCTCATACTAATAGAGGAAAAAGTTGATAGATTATTGAGTAAAATTGAATGAAAATAAGTCCCATTTTTCTTACAGTGTTTATTCTCTTTAAATTTTAGTTTAAATATTATTGTAATAGTTATAAACTACTAAGTTGCCACAGTGGTTTCTACACAGCTCTGTTTTAGAGACAATATTTTAGGTCCCGATTAAAGAAATTGGTTAACTGATCGGATGAATAGATTTCCACGACAACCATAATAACAATACCTACTTATGAATTAATATGACTCGCCTTCATTAATAAGAAGCCTCTTGTAATTATTTCTCAATATCCTTGTGGCTGCACATTTATTTTTCAAATTTGGAATATTTTTCTATGTCTATATCTTGTTTGACGTTTAGTGTTCTCTTCAGCATTGAATATGTAGACCATAACGATGTCAACTGCCGATTTTATATTTGAAATATGCTAATATCAAACTTTCAGATATATTCTTTAATTTCTTAGAATCATACCATTCCAAAAAGTCTTTGTGAGTAAATTCATATTGCCTGATCAATTTGCTGCGAATAAGTAAAAAATTGCATTTTTCACTGCTTCAAATAGTAGATCTTCAGTTTCTGACAACATGTTTTATATTTTTAATCAATTCCAATGATAAAATTATTGAATAAACTGCCACCAACTCAAGATTTAAAAAAACGCGTGTTTTCTTAATAGAATTGTTAATTGCTTGTTGCACTGTTATCTTTACTGACGTGCCAAAGAATATTTGAAATTAGAATATGTGCACTGAATTGTAGATACATACAAATAAATTAATCGTTAAAATTAAATTTTAGTGAGATACAGTTTTCGAAAAAAAATATTGTTTGATCCTTGACTGCCAAATTCTTTAGCATTCTCGAATGATTTCTTTTTCCCGCTGTCATTCGCAAAAAAACTTTAATTCTCGAACGCATTTCGTAATCTACCATCGAAAATGACTATTTTTATATCGTTTTCAAAGTTTTCATATTAGAAATTGCAGTAACACTGCTTTAATAGTACTCTAATTAGACTCAGGAAAATAAAATTCAATACTTGATATGTAGCCAGGGGGTTTAATTAAATACTTTGTTCATTTACTGACACATTGGTTACTTTAGAGACACCTCGTTTTGTATTGCAAAATAACTTTTGGCTTTTTTCAACTTTGAAATCAACGACTAAAAGAGTATGTATTGTAATAGAATGAGTTGGGGCAAAGATTTTAAAATATCAAAGAGAAAGGCAAATTTGGGAAAATAAAATTGGTAAAATCGATTTTAAAGAAATAAATTATAAGTTGAATAAGTGTGACCAATAGGAGTACAGTAGATGGTTGAAACTGAGAAAAAAAGGTAAAATAAATAAAAATTAGTATATGATCAATTAAAAATTTCGTGAAAAATGAATTTCAAACAAAATTTAAAGAAATATAATGTAATAGTATATTCCAAATTGAAAATATGATCGGTAATAAAAAATTTGGATTACTAGAATCAGAAAGTAATTAAAAAAAAAATTGTGGGACATGAAAAGAAAAAGAGTAAGGTAACTAAGAAAGAAACATAATAAATTGGTGAGCTGACGGCTAAAGTTTTGAAAAAAAAAAATTAATAATATAATAATATAATTTGATTGCCAGAAAGAAACAAATGTATTCAATAAAGAAAAACTATGTATAAAGAGTAGAAGAAAACAATCTCAAGAACTAAATTAATTGAAGATTACGGACAATAGATACTTAAATAAGTCCAATAACAAAACCAAGTTAACTGCTATAGAGTATTACCCAGTATCGAGTCAACACAGATTTAATCTAAGTCACCGACAGGGAATAGTAACATAGAAATATTAGCAAGGAGACAAACAACAAAGAGTTATATGACAGATGACAAGTCAGGAGCAGAAGTTGTGCTAACAGGTACAGGAAAGAAATAGAGGAGATATAGGACCAAGAAGAAAAGAAATTAGTGTATTAGACAGTGGTAAAGAGGTATAAACCCCTAATATAATACAGACTTGTGTTAAATTTAATATTTAAATCCAAATCCTGGATATTGTTATTTAGTTTAAGTTAGAGTAGAGGAAGTGGCGTAGGTTTAATTTAAGAATACTTCTATTGATAGAAGATTGAAAAATTTTGAATAAATAGTAAAATAAATTAAGTGTTAGCCAATCACATAATTTTTATTTTAATTTGAAATATATTGGATCAGAGTAATTAAATGAATTAGAAATTATTTTTACGAGAAATAGAATAATTGTGGTCAGTTAAAATTCAAATATAATTAGTTTGTTTTTTCCTTCTTAAGATTAAGTATCTAAATTCATTAATCAGTATAATATTTTAAAATCAAAATACTAATCTTCTCAGAACCTTACCCTGAGGTAAGGCTACTCATACTAGATAAAAATTTGCTTGAATCTTAAATTAATTATTTTTCTTCCTCAAACAAAGACTTTCTCTATAAACATAACAAAAAAAATTTGAATTAAATTACTATACGCTCATGTGAGCTGGCGCCCAGACAATAAAAAAAAAATAGGATACAAAGAAGAAGAACCGAAGCAGAATAAGTAAAGGTAGGTAAGAAAATTACCATCTGACAAGTATATATCTTTTAAATAATGGAGTAATGTACTGAAGTGGAATATGCAATTAATATTTCTTCTTTGCAAAAGAAATCGTAATAAAAAATCAAATTTGAAATAAATGTGTAAATTTTTTTACAGAAAACTTGTTGAGAACCGCTGACTTCGCTGTGGCATTTACGATTAGCATAGATCATCTATGCAGCGTTGCCGGTGTTAAACAAAACTCTTTAATCCTGAATTTTTATAAAAAAATATGAAGAAAAAAGTTGAAATAAGTAAATATTTAAACTTTGTCAGAATCTTTAAGGTTCATAAAGATGTTCATGACCTCCTCCTGTTCTTGCAATCCCTGATATGGAAAATTTACAAAACATGTACACCAAAGCCAATTATTGCTTAATTAATATATATTGCCTATGTTTAATTATTTTTTAGTGTAGTATCTCAAATACCAAAACGAGATCTGTTTTTATTCCGAGACGAAATATTTCAGACGTGGTTAACTACACTAATAAAGTGAGTATTATTTTAATTCAATTTAAATTAATTCAACCAACTAGAATAATTAATGTATGAAACGAAAATAGAAAAAAAAACATCCAGTTAATTTATAAACTGATCCGTGGTTTGGGAAGAAATGTCAATTAATAAATATCAAGGTAAGGTTTTTTTGAGAAGTGTCCATAAAATTCTAGGTTTTTCAATTAATTTTATTTTAATCTTAGCACATGCCTCAGTTCTCTTCAAAAAATCAGTGTGAAGAATATGATACGTAACACTACGTAACTCTGGACTGTAAGGGTATTATAAAGCAAGACTTGAGAATACTTACACTCAGTGCACATTTCGCTAACCATCACGGGGAGATATTATTAAATAACTTCTAAGGCGGCAGGAGCAGAAGCTTGTGGAATTATTGATCACGATGAAGGCCGATGACAGTTCTAAAGAATTGTCTCTTGTAAAAGGAAGGTCGTTCTAAGAAAACAAATCACATTTTTGTTGTTGGATATATTACAAACATACTTTTATTGCTCATATTTTGCAAAACGCATTTGTAAAATGTTTTGTTGGTCAACTTCCTACTAAATGAAGTATAGTTGTAGGAGTTGCCATAACTGACTCAGACATCAGTATCTTAGCAGTTGCACTATGAAGGAATGCATTTTATACATGTAAGAAAGCTCACCACGGAAATCTGGATAATTAGTCATTATTAACTGCAGTCACTAACAATCACTAAAGTTTTGATATAAGATTAAATAGAGTTTAAAATATTACTAAGAATGTATGCGTTGTTTATGAGACATCCATCAATAAGTTTTGACATAAGCCTACTTTGAGAAGTCACTTATATTATACACCGTAATATTGTCAGAGTTCAATTAAAAGCCTTTTTTCTCGAAAACCGTCCACATTAGGAACTTCTAACAAGAGTACATTATTTTTAGAATATAAAATTGTACATTGGAAATTGGAGCACGAATGGTAAAAAAAATAGAACTTATAACGATACACTATACCGATTTTTAACAAGTAT